AAAAAAAAAAAAAAAAAAAAAAAAAAAAAAAAAAAAAATGAAAAAAACAACATATAAATATACGTGGAAATAAACGGTTATAACGTTACGCTATTACACATAATTTATACACACACACAAGTATTTTATACGTTTATGTCAAGTGTAATACCGTCTTCGTGTAACGCAACTCTCACTGGGTCACGAGTAATTTTTCACACACATCCAACGCAACATTGTAGTAACAATAATAACAACAGCGCACCGGTAGGAAAATATTAACTTCTTTCGTTCCGATTCCTCGGGCCGCGGTCCGAACCAATAAACGCCGTTCGAAAATCATACAGTATTATATAATATTGTAGCGGTATTACGATAAACACGTATGCAAATGGCCATGTACGTTTATTGAACTCGAACAATTATTTGTATGTTTCTTCGATTTATCGTCCTATCGTATTATTCGCACGACTGTTCCTAAAATGTGTAAATTCCTAACATATCCGTTTCGTGGACGATACCACGGATTTTTCTCCAAATGTTTTGAAACTGTTTAAACCGTCTACGTCACATCCGATGCACGTCTTTACAACAGTCATGTACACGCATACCCTACAAAATAGTTGACCTATGACAACAGTTTACCTCTTCGTTGTAACCGCGTTCTCGGCGAACCGCGGAACGGGTTCAAGAGGAAACTAACATCTCTGCCGTGATCTATTTTTTTTTTTTAATGTTTACTGTTCATCAAAATCAATTAATTTGAAATTCGCAAACGCTCGAGTGATATAGATTTATATTTCATGCTCTGATCGAATACACACCCCATCAAATTCCGTCAAACATATCTGTTGACGTTACTGTTACACCATCTGCATCGCAGAACACATATCGTACGAATACTGTTAGCTCATGTTCGATGTACAATTTTCTCGTTCATCGTTAGTCAAATAACTTTTTATTTATTTTTAATTACTTTTTAACTATTTAACTAATTTTTACATGACGTCAAAGTACAATAATTTAACCAATCACGGTATACCGAACAGAATTTCCGAACCGTCGTCATTATTCCGCACGTAATGTCAACGGTGTAACCGCACCAGAGTACGTTTAACTATGTACAAACTAATAGTGCAGCGTAATAGTTTTAAAAATAAATAATTATACATCACATTTATCCTTTCGACTGCGGTCGAGATTCAAATGTCGATGTGGTGATCGAGAACAGTCGATAATGTACAATTTTCAATATAACGATACTGCGATGTTTATACATGAGAAAAGTTATTTGAACCAAAACTGACAAAATATGCTCAAAGAAAATATTTAAATGTGCGAGGTAGGAGTCATAGAAAAAAAGACATTTTTTGTTCTTTGATGTATTTTACATACAATAAATAACAAATATATTAACAACGTCAAAGTTTGCACTTGAACTGAAATAAAAAAAACTAAAAAAAAAAAAAAAAACATGTACGAAATTATGGAACATATACTTGTGTTGACCATAAAACTTGAAGGTTTGAAGAAATAATATGAATCGTCCTACGCCTTTTCTAACTTATTATTTAATGATACACTGATAACAAAAATGAACCTGATAACTCACCTAATCGATTCTTTTACTTATATTGAAACGAAAATAATTTACAAACATTTTTATTTAATGTCGTGGCAATAATATTGTGAAAAATGCTACATCTGTATGCACTTGTGAACTTATAAAAACGAAATCGTATAACATAGTTAAACGAATCGTTTTACCATTATAACGTCAAATATGGAGTTAACAATTTGAGCGTATACGTGTGCAATGACAACACTATTGTTGTGTGGATCAGTGGCAAGATCGGAACATCCTCAGAAAAAGGGTTATATTACTGTTATGTATAATATTCCAGTGTTTATTACACATAAACCTCGGTACACCAAATCAGCTTCTATTATTATTATCATTCATTCATATCAATTACCAGAAGTATTATTACAGGTATTCGCAGTGATCGCTTTCGTTTACCAAACTTGAATAAACGAACCGTCCCGATCCGAGTTTACCCGTATGTCCTCCGAACACGTCAGGTGTATATTTACATAATTTATACTCCCCGATTTTACAACACGCATTCAAAAACAATAATAACGTAACGACACTATCGAGAAATGTAAACCACTTACCCGTCCTTGACCAGGGCGACGCTGCCGGACACGTGCGCGTTATCGGGATCTGGAGACACGGACACTTCCATTAACTTGACGAACTTCCAAGCTGCGAAAACCAAACGATATGTAAAAATTGTTCTATCAAAACATGCGCGCGCGACGGTAAACTGCATGTTACCGTCCGCCATGGCATGTAAATATAATAATGTACACGTGTAATTAATTATGTGTGCGTGTGCGATTCGCTCGTGACAGATGACGGACGGTGCGCGGGAAAAAATTATGGTGCCCGTGAAAAACGTTTTCCACGGGACCGCGAACGATTTTTCCCGGGACACTGCTTCGATTATACTCGTAACATCGAGTGTACGCGCTGTTTTGCCCGACAAATTTTCCAATGATCGACGTGCACAATGATAAATGATTAACGCCGCGATTTTTTTTATTTCGATTTTTTTTTCCCATCGTTATTATTACCATACGATGGTATGCTGTGGCGATAGGTTTACCGCTGAAATAGATACACAACGCGTTTACTTTCTACGTTATAATGAATTTGACCGGGAAAAATAATATTAAATATACATATATATATATAAACGTGTGCGCGTATATAATGTATTTTATTCTATCGGACGGGCAACAACCGCGGGAGATTAGTACAAATTTAACGGATTACCGTACGGTTTTTTTTTATTTAATTATTTTTTTTTTTTTTAACGTTTTCTCGCGTTTTTCGGCGGACACGGTAATGCGGTGATATATTAAATTTGATTTTCGGTTCTGAAACCGCGCTCGACGACGATAACATCATCGTCATCGAGAAACGGTAAAGAGCATTTTTTTTATTCAGTTTTCACAAATTATCACGGGCAATTACGTCGTGCGACCCATGCGTACCACCGACAACGCGTGATTGTCATAACGATTTCCCGACAAAACGGACGAGAAGTGCGTTACGACGAAGCAATGGAGTTGCCGGATAATCTTATTTTCAGTTGCACGTCGTAATATCTATGGCGAACGCGAACACGAACAAGTCTTACGCGTTAAAAAAAAAAAAACAATGAGTATATGAAGGGACGCGCAAACCGGTTGTGCAAGGTGTTCAAAAAACAAAGGCGGCCAAAAATTTAGAGCGACATTATAAATCAAATCTCAGAAAAATGTTCATAATAATTGTACAATAATAATTAAACGCAAACATAATATAAAACATATTTTAAACAATAACTAAAAACAATTTTGATGTCTAACAAAAAAAAAAAAAAATTTGGGCAGTGCTCAAATAAGAAATTTTAGGTGAAGGAGTTCCAGCAAATTTGTTTGTACAACATAGGCGGCCGAATAGATCAGATCAGGGACTTGAGCGTACGTTGTGCGTGTGTTTTTTTCTCAACTCTTCGAGTTGAATCACATAGACACAAAAATATATTGAGTAAATTGAAAATCATGTAGTTTCTATTCGGCTCTGTTGATTAGTAGAAAAACTGTAGGTACGCGTACCTAAAACGCGTAGGTATCACATGCGTTATAAACAGTGACTTCGGAATGTCCTGCCGCGGTGATCACGATCGGGTTGGCGGTCACGTACCTGAATGCGGATTGATCCTGGCCCGCAGCTGTAATTTGGTGCCGATGGGCACAGCCTGGTCGACGGGCAGCTCGCTGTTGTGGCTCAAGTTGGTCAATCGAGCGGGCGCTTCCTTGTACAGGGCAACCTCGTACTCAAGTCTTCCGGGCGTCTCTTCTACGACTCCGGACACCCGCGCACCGTGTGGGCTGTGAACAAATCGGATACGTGTTTAATTATACAACCATATTGAACTCGACAAATCTCAACTGCAGACGCACTTTAGTTCACCCGTCGAATCGTACCAATGGCAATACACGTCCGAGCCGTTCGATTAACGTAAAGGTTTTACCCGATAAAAGTTAGCCTGTTAGCCTACCGTACCCGACCGGTTTACCGACTCAGACGTGCGACGCCTAAGACTCGCGTGTACACCGTTGTAAGCAAAAAGATCTGTGCATCGTGTTTAAACGAACGCGGTCGGAGAACGTTTTCCCTTTTTCGCGTCGCCGTCGTTTTTTATGCACACAGAGTGTGTTAACACTAGCAAAACGACGGATACGGTCACGTCGAATTCAAACCGTTTTTTTACGCACACACGACAATACATCGATAGGTATGCAACTATATGGTACAGCGCAACGATACGTTATTGACGTTCCGTATTCAAATCCGACAATGCCCGGTCCTGATATGACAATACCGGTACGCGCAAAACCATTCGTACGCAATTATGTTGCCTGTCGAATAATAAGGGAATGTTCGTACACACAAACACACACACACACACATGTAACGTTGTCGCGTTTTGTGTGTCATCTTGCATAGGTGTGCGTAACAAATGGGTCAGTAGGCGAAACGAACGGACGCGGAGGAAATGTCCACGGAGAGGTAGAACGCGAACGCGCGCAGTACCGTGAAAATGTGAATTTAAGTATTATTATTATTATTATTATTTATTTTTTTTTTTTATCGCGATCACGTTCGTCTCGGCCATATTGTTTATTTAAATATCTTCTTTAAATATACGCACACATGCGCACGGACATCGTACGCATGCAATATAGGACGCGAATAATATTATATTTAATGATAATGATCGTTCCTGCCCCCCCCCCGATCTCGCTTCCACCCCCGCGGAGGAAAACACAAAATTCTCTACGACTCGTATTACGTTGCGCAAGGCGCGCTCGCAGATTCCGTCTTACGGTCGCCCACTCCGTCCGGCACACATTGTACGTTATCGTCTAAACAATAGAGCATACACCGTTTAATGAGATGCATGCATTTCGTGAAATGAAAACCGAATCGATTTTCCACCGTTTCCGTAACAAATAGTATTTGCTCGCCGTAAACCAGTAGTATGTGCAACGTTCCGTCGGCGGTCGTCGTCTTCGTGTTTACCAATTTTTCTTGTTCGGGTGTAACTTGAGCACGTGTACACCTAACCTAAACGTATCCAGTTTGACGCGTACGATAGATGTTCGCAATCGTCTCGAATGATCGTCTGAACCTGTCCTCGTCGACAGGAACAAACCGTTTTACGTATTTATTGCGATACCGAGGTCTTCGATCGTCTGTGACGAACACGGTCTACAATCGAATACAAACACTCATAATTATAAACTGCTCGTTTACAATAGATTTTTCTCGTGGTCCGCGGTGCTTGTGGTTTTTTCTTTGGGCTTCCGACTATTTTAATTGCAGTCTTACTAATTATACTAGAAAGCAGAAATTATCATTTTCATCGAGTATAGGAACAGGTTATTTTTTTAAACAAACCACTTTTTGCAATTTACATGTATCACTAGGCTTCTGAGAGCAAAATAACCAACAACGGAAAACAAACGTCATCGTTTTAATATCTCACAGTGTATAAAACGTTCTGAATTATAAATCTAATGTTGTATAAACGTCACGTCGGCATATTATATTACACATCGTATAAGTTTAAGCGTAAATTTTAACTGGCAAACACTATGCACCATATCGACCGTCAATCATAGAGCATTGATTATAAATCCGGATTTAAAAAAAAAAAAAAAAAAAAACGTTTTACTTTGAACGACGCTTGAATGGTATCATAAAAAATGAAAATTGAAACGTGCGAAGCAATCGGAATGTTGAGTAAAAAGTTTCGAAATCACGAGCGACAAGTGATGAACAAACAGATTACGGTTACTGTACAGTGAAAATTATAATATATCAAATGTAAATAAAAACGTAATATTTGTGTGCACTCGGTTTTCCCGTGATCAACGGCGGTCCGCCTGGAACGTGGTCAATCGTCGTGCTCGTTAGATACGTAGCGGTCACGTATAATCATCAGCGTTACCGATGACGACGACAACAGAAGTAACAACATCGGTGAAATATAACCGCTCCGGTTTCGAGGGGTGTAATCGAGTGCAATCGTAGTACGACGCAGAGAGGAGAAGGAGAAACGATCCGGACGGTTAGGTTAGGATTGCTTTTGTTAGCTCGGTCGTCGCGCGCGCAGTACGATATTATTTTATAACACTAATGCACACGTAAATGAATTACGATCGTCGAGATCGGCGAGCGGTAATATCCGCCGCCGCCGACGTGAATTTTCATCCAAAACCGAGATCGTTCCGGTCGACGAACGGTGGGATTTTCGAACCGATTAACGGTGTCAACAACGGGTGCGCCTAGTCCGCAGTCGAATTACAAAATAACTTCGGTACGCACTAGATTACTACCACCACCCAGTCTCGTGCAATGGTGCACCCCGTCGGCATCGCGTTCGACGTTACACGTATGCATTGTTAAAATTACGTTTACCGTCTCACTCGTCGAAACACACACGTATACGAATATTATTAATTGCACTGCGTGCATGTGTATCGTCATCGTACACACTTGCGCGCACACACACACTTGTACACTCTCTCGCGCTCGCACACACTTACGGTCCAGCACACACGCGCTATTCGGTTGTACGGTCGTCACGGTGTACCGGCGGACTTAGTCTACAAAACGCGTTCCGGGCCGCGACGACGACGGCAACAACAACAATAATATTATTAAATAATAACGAGAAAAAATATAACAAACACAACGACCGAGACACAATAACCGAGCCATTGATATCGGTCAGTATACTACTGACAGGCACGTAAAAATAATACACGCTCTTGTACGTATATAGCTACTGTATGTGCGACCGATTGTATCGAGTCGACCGGCACTTCGGCGGTACGTTACCGTTACCCGGGTCTCGAGTATCCGTTTTTACACCGTCGCCAAACGCGTACGTCCTTATCCTCTCCACCGTCATCGAACGACCCACAGGTGGTTTGAACGTTTTCGTCTTACCGCACCGGTACCAATAAAACCGCCTGCCCGCCCGCCACCGAAAAAAATCCTTCACTCCATTCGCTTTACAAGCCGCGTTTAAACGTCGAAACGTGCACAAAAACGACGAAATACGTTCCGTAAACTGTGACTACGCGTTATTCTACACCGCCGTCAAATAGATTTCTAAAAAACTAAAACCCGAAACGGTTCGAATACTGCACCACAATATTGGTCCAACTGTTTTACGCGTACGACGTATGTATGGACGATGTTAACATGTGGACATAAAGTCGACATTAGTCGGACGATGTCCACAATCATCGTACATTTCGGCTGATGTGTAATCGTTCGCGTACAAACATGAAATCACATCATCGTCCGCGGAATGTTAATATTAGCCCGTTGATCGTGCGAAATGCTAAGCGTTGTACGACTACATTAATTTGTCGGCAATGTCCGTGTTGTTAGTAATATCCGTAGCGTTTAATGATAACGGTTGGCTAGGGTCGAAATGTTAAAATGATCCGTTACATACGTACACATATTGTGTTTTCGTATCAGCGTACATAATTTCTGTCGCAGTTTCTGCTCCGTGTTCGTTTTATATTTTATTTTTTATCCTCTAAGCTTACGCACATCGGTTTTTGGAAAAAGAATAATACTGGCGCGGTTCATACACACAGTCGAGTGTTATACGTGTACGGTGCACGTCAGCAGCAACAAGCCGTGTTACAATGATTACAACAACACGATGGCGGTATGGAATCTTTTTTGAAATTGGAAAAACAATGAGGAAAATGAAAAAAAAACCGTCTTTTCGGTGTGTATTATTTTAATTATGTACGAGTGTACTACAGTCATCTCGGATTTCTTGTACACGTAGCAGCTGCACGGCTTACAAACGCACTAAACACTGCCCTCCCCCTAATGATACATTCTCTTTTAATTTCTCTCCTCAACCCGTCCGATACGTATTCGAAACGCACATCTGATCGGATTGTACCGAGAGTGTTTCAATTAGGTTTTAGTTGGTTTTTTTTCCTCTCCGTAGATAAAACATAAACACATCTGCACGCTCGTACCTACATATTTCAATGCACCTGTTAAAGCGTGCACTAAAAACGCATATTTTTATTTTTTTTTTAGCCATCAATTAGATAAACTCATCAAATACATTGCGTGTACGTATAACACGTGCGTGTGTGTGTGTGTGTGTGTGTGTTTTACAATACCATGGATTGACATGAATGTGTTTTCTTGTTTTTTTGTAATTCCGTTTAAAAAAATCTCGTTTTTCGTAAATACAACTATGGCGTACAATACTATGATGACGTTATACCGTAAGGAAAAACAATTACAATCCGATACGGTGTTACTCCATACGAGCGAATAGGTGTACACTGCAATTATAATGTATTTAACACAACGATTGGACTTACAAACTTCCGGCAAAACCCGCAGCTTTGTTCTCGATCACCGTCGGTTCCGGCGGCTTGCACATTATGATCAGCTCTTGATCGGACATCATCACCACGCCGGGAAACTGTGGAAACCACACTCGGACGTGCACGAAACCCTATCGGAAAAAATCGATTAAAATTGATCATATTAAATACGTATAATTTTTTCGCGAATGCCATCTATTTACATGCGGTATCTATATTCTTTTGTTTTTCTTTTTACCGTTAATTTTCTTCGTCTGTTTAAACGTTTAAAATAAAAATATTTCTATACAATTTACAGAAATTTTAAAGCACACAATATTTTGTAAAACTTTCTTTCTTTTTTTTTTTTTAATTTCATATTCTAAAACATATTGTCTTATTTTATAATTATTGAATAATACTAATACATCATTTTTTTTCAAGATTCTGAAATAAATTAAAAAATCGAAGGGAAAGATATAGGACCATTAAGATAGAATAACTCACAAAATATTAGTGACCATCCACATTTCCAGAACATGAAAATAAAAATAACTTGCGATGTTTCTGCGGAAAACTTCTTAAATCATAGTCTAATAATATGGTTAACAATAAATTTGTTTTGGTAAAAATGTTGTGGGCGTGATAAATACTGAGAATTGCATGCAAATCATTTTTTTTTTTTTAAAAAAAAATACGCGTAAGCAAATTATCGGAAAAAAGAGTGTTTAATGGGAAAAAAAGCAAAAAACATTATTTGAACACTCACGTTTCTCCGGAGTACGCCACACCGCGTAAAATCGGTGACCAACAAGTTGTAGGTCAACAGTGATGCGTCCGCCAAGTCGGGTCGTATCTGACAGATTGGATCGATGAGTGGGTCAACGGATCGGTCATCGGCAAACAGTGGATGTCCCTTGAATCCTTCAGGTTTCTTCAGTCTGGCGGATATCACGTCTTTGACGCCCAACAGCGCTTTGCCCACCCTCAATGAGTCCGTCGAAAACGAACATTGTATTTCCGACACTGAATACAACAGAATTGAGCGATTTTAGTAAGCTGCGATATGCTTATAACGGATCTGAGACAATGAAGGCATAATGGAATCCTTTCACTAACTTATTTTTAATGGAATAGTACGACGGTACGAACGTGTGGACGCTTTTTATATATAAATATTTTATTTCGTAAATATATAAATATATTTTTAAGTTCATCGGTATGAAAATAAAAGTGCCTAAAATGAAACTTAATAAAAAAAAAGATCACATGCGCACAGAAATTATAAAAATTTGAAAAATATTTATATAATTTCAAAAATGTAGGCAACTACTAGTTACCGATACGCCTATTAAATTGATGGAGCGGCGACTAGAGCGTCGAGGTCAAGTCCCACACAAATGTTCGTAAAATAATTGAAGACCTGGCGGCAACATCCAGACATATTCATATTTTGGCGAAAATCAGTTTTTGAATTTTTATTATTAATAAAAATAATATACAGCGATTGGTGCAACAACCAGACAAATCCGATCATTAAATACAGAGACCTTGTACAAATGGAGATGTCTGATTTTTATTTTGGTGCAACAATAAGACATATCCGGATATATCTAGTTGTTGCACCAAAATGTTGATCATATTGCATTTAAAATATGATTACGTCTAGTGATCACATTGTTGTACTATCATACTCATATTTGGTGCCTTAACGGCTTTACAGTGTATTATCTTGTTCGTTATAACAAATTTTAAATAAATAATACTATTATAATTCAAAATACTTTTTATTTAACATTAAATAAGGACAATACCTAATAATGTAATTAGTGATATTAGTTTTACAAATTTTGACGACTCTATCGATGATTCCGATTATTAAAATCCGTTTTCATCAATCGAAGTATCGGATTTTGAAAATATGTCTGAGTTTTAACTTAGTTAATACTGCCAGTGTTTCTTTTATGTTATTTTTTAAAATTAGTAAGTTATTTCAATTTTGTTTGTTTTTATACATATAAAAATTTTATCTATAAGTGTTAGATACTCATATTGTTTAATAATAATTAAATATGTTGACATAAGTATGTTTCATACCTTAAACATAATATGTTTTGTTCTATTATTTTTTATTAAGTTTGAAAAATTTCATTTAAAATATTATTTTATATTGTCAGTTTTTCTTTTTTTTTTAAGTTATTAAAATGAATAAGTTATTTAAATTTAATTGGTTTGTTATACATATTATAAGCTTTTATTAGCCCAAAGTGTTATATAAACAATGTAATAGGTAAGAAAACCTTTATCATATTAATAACATTATTTATTTGCATAAAAAGAAAAAAAATAATTTTACGGTGCAACGACCAAACAATACTTTTATTTTATTTTTTTTAAGTATTTAAAATATATTTTGTTATTTATTTTTCATGATATCAGTTAAACATATTGCCAAGATATTTGAATATATTTTGTGTTAATCTTTAAAACCATTTGTTAATTTATAAAACAGTTTTTTGTTCCTCCTGAACAATTTGATAAAACGGATGTGTCTGGTTGTTGCCGCCAGGTCTTCAATTGTAGGTACACTATATAGGACAATTTATAATAATATACAGATGCTCTACACTTCAATATTTCCAGTTTAAACACTTGCTATCTGCAGTGGTTCCAAAATTAAACAATGGTAAGAAAAACGTTAATTTCCAATACGGGCGGGTATAAACTTCTTTCTAAAAATCAGTGGTAAAACTGTCAAATATTTGGTTTTACAGTAAAAAGGGTTTACTATCCTAAATATTTTAAGACCACTGCCCTACATAAACATGGATTTCGGCAATTTCGGCTTCTGTGAACCCAACTGTAGTTACTAACGAAAAGTATATAATTACGAGCGATAGTCGAATAAATAACATACTCGAAGTTCTTGCGCGAAACTCATTAAAATAATAGCCCGGGCACGAACGTTTACAGATTCACGTACGAAGTATGATATATACATTTATATTTAGAAACTAGCGGGCGCACTTTTGGAGTAAAAAAGCATTTATACACAACAAACACGATCGTGCATCTCGTGATCATTTATTATCCTTTTGAAAAACGTCCAATTATTTTTCGCACTTGACAACGGCATTCATTACTGTCGTTATTATCGATACAATTATAATACACAGTGCACGTTGTGCCATTGAAACATTTAATACATTCATTTCGTACTAATATAGAATAATACACATATAAAAATATAAACATTCGCACGATCAGTACACTGCGTATGATTGTGTGTTTGTTCTAATGAATAGCGTTTAACGCACAATAACAGAGAGAGAGAGAGAGATGCACTAGTAGAAGAAAAAATAAACTAGTACGATTATGATAGTACTTGTCGATTTGGTGGTGCCGTGAAATCGAGACCAACTTCGTCGAGTAGGCCGTGCTGACAAGATTAAAACCAAATTAAGCACGAAATCGTCGCATCTGTGGACCTACGGGATATCTAGCAAACATCGTCAACGTCGAGGAAATAAAATCAGGACGTTTTCACGATCAAATACTAAGTGAAGAATTTTCAATCGAAACGTACAGTAACTATTCAGAACTACCGTAAAGACGGTGGGCGGTTGATGACGACCTAAAGAGGAGGATATGTACGTCGCTGTGATGCGGATAAAATATTGTGAAATTCACAAAAGCGTACGTCGTCATAAACATAAAACGATAAGAGAAAAAAATCAACAGTAGAAATGTTTTATTTGTTTTTCTACTTACCATCGTAATCTTGCATAGAGACCTCGTGTGCCTGAAAAAAGTAAAAAAAAAAATCAGTTAATACTTGAACACAAAAAAAAAAATAAACCAATTTATTCCACATTGAGTACCTATATACGTCGCATGTAAACAGAAAGTAAAACAAAACTAATTAAAGGAATGAACATTAATTAATATACACATCCTCCAAGATAATCGTTAGACACGGTGAAAGACAAATCGTCCGCGTGTAATACAATTATTAGGGTTTGATCCATTTTTACTTGACGTTCCACGCGAACACATAGTATGTAGGTAATAATATAAAAATAGCCGATAAAATCGAGAGTGCATGTATAGCGTATCTCACCACTTTGGTTTTCTCTGTAAATTCTAAAATGCGTGTACGTAGCAATACAGATTTTTTTCAGCAAACCATAAAGAACGATTTTTCTTCCATTAAATCATTCAGCTTTTTAGCCATTAAATCGAATTAGAGATTTTTTTTCATTTTTTTTTTTCCCCCGTAAGTCATTCGCAGTTTCGATTTACAAATAACGTTTGTTTAAAATATTGAAAAAATCTAGAAGTATAGAATAAGTAGAACAAAATATTGGAAAATATATTTTCCTCGGAATCGACCGATTTAATAGTTGTTCTTTGGATTCAACGCGTTACGAGAGATTATAATTCGAAATCAAAGGGAACTAAACAGCCGAAACGTCCGGATGATACGACACCGCAACTTGACGTTTCGTCACGAGTCTCGATGGCAAAACAATTGCGACAAAACGTTCAGCGTTTCCAACACTGCAGTCAGCGGTTATGATTGCAAAGACGTTCGAGAGGACGAAAACGGGTGAACAATTTGCCACAAATAGTTTTCGCGAACGAGTGGGTCGTACTGCTACTAATCACTGCGTTATATTCGATGAGTAGCGGGTGTACAGAGAACTGGGAAATAAATCGTGTACCGTTTACGAACCAGCCGGCGGCTATCCCTTTTTTAGAGTTTGACAAAAACAAATTAAAATGATGAATAAAGGATAAAGACATGACCAAGTGATTGTTTTGTGAACAAAGTATAATATTTTGTTTTAAATGGTTAAAGTTATGAATGAAAAGTAAAAATGATTCGGAATATCTGGTAAACTTGTAAACGAATTGAACGTGAATAATATTCAGTTTTCGTGTATCGAAACGACGATAACAATATAATATTTATGGCACAGCAAATAATAATCAGTTTTGGCCATTAGCTTGGGAATATGGATTCGATGAATTCAATTGGTTTTCAACACTAATCGCCTGACAATCCATTCGACTTGGATGGACTTGTGACCGTCGCAGAGGATAAAAATCTACCGGATGAGCTGCTGAAGGTGCTGAGATAAAGAGCGTTCCGTCGAAGACGGATTTCCGTCCGGCCCCGGCCGTACCCGTGCGTGAGCCGTCATGTAACGGCACACATCCGACGTGCAACCGCTGGCCACGGGGTAGGGATTATGGTACGCGACGCATTTCGCCGAGATCCCGACCGCGTGCAAGTCCTCCAGGGAGCTCGCTGTTGCCGAGATGTTTCCGAACCCGTGGCATGAACGATGATAGCCGATCTCGATCCCGTCCGAAAAACCGTTCGATCGCTGCACGCAAAACGTAATACGAAAAAAACCGCATCAATACGTTTACGGGGATCGAAGTATCTTTCGGCACACCGGTAATGAATTCACCTCTAACGCCATCTCTCATCCCTTCCACGGTCGCGCGCTTGGAAACCGTAATAGTATTTCGTCCATATTCCCGTGTTCGGTTCGTTGTTGTTTTTTAAATCTCCCCCCCCCCCCCAGTTTGTTCATTCGTTTCGTGTTCGAACGACGGAATAATATTTTTTTATTTTTGTTTTTTGTTTTTTCCGTCGAGTAACGTTACACCCGACAAGACGCGCGGACGAGTACAATTTCCGACTGAAAAGTCGCGCGCGGTCGACCAAATTCTTTGGTCCGCTGGGTCAAAAATACGGTTTTTCACGAGGAGTATTCAGGGCGCGACAGGCGGTAATCGTAGTGTTGCGTACCATCTGTATGGCAGCACCGTGCGAGATGTCAATAACGTAATGTGTGCCAGTGGCGTATTTAGGATTCTGTTGACCTGGGTACACATTTTTTTTTTGTGCCCTTTCTCTTACGAGTTTTTATACTGGCAATTTTCATACCAATAAAATAAGAACTTAAAGCTTAAAGAACTAAAATTTGTTTCAAATTTTTCTTTCTCAACTTTATTAACAGAAATATTTAATTTAGACAGTTCAGCACTAGGACTACAGTTTACAATTTCTGATATGTCATCACCATTTTCATCAACAAAGGATTTTTGATCAATACCTAGTTTTAAATAAATCAAAATATGAATACCTAGTATGAAATGAAAATGAAAAATAATTTATATAAATTTAATAAATATTAGTACTTGATGTGTTTTGTACACTGTTAACTACTGAATCATTAATATTAAAATAAGCATCGAGTTTAGCAACTTTTGACAAAACATTTGCATTTTTAATTGCTTTAATTTTTGCCTTTTTACGATTCTCTGCACCACTAAGTTGCTTTTTGGAATTTTTAGCCATCTAAATATTATCAATCATTAAGCAAAATTAAAAGCAATAAGCATTAAGCATGATATACCGATTAAAAAGTTAAAGCAGTGTTTGATATTATGCATAATTTACTATTTTCTACGAATAAAAATTATACCTTAGGTACTGTAATTTTAATAATAATAATAATAATATAAAATGCATAAAAGGGACTGAATAAAATAGTTCAAGCTAAGAGTTTCGCATAATTTAGATATGACACTGCTCAACACCATGCAATTTGACTAGATAATTACAAATATATACTCCTACAGTCGTAATTACTCTGATAGTCAGATCTCAGATAGGTATGATACTATGATGATTAGAAAATTCAATTTAATCGTTGTCAGAGCAAGAGACTAAAATTTAGTAACTTATACTTACACTATTTTATACAATGTAAAGATTTTAACACGCAGTTTAATAAACATTTTAAATAATGTTACTCTCAAACAGAGAAAATATATAAAAAAAAAAAAGTTATAAATAAAAATTTGACAAGATATGAGAGAAAGACGTAAAGATACTATAAAATGAACCATCAAAGTTAATTATTCGTTATCATAATATCAGTTATCCTTAATGATTCACACTGTCACTGCAATAATTAACACGTTAATAACATCATGGTAGTGGTTTTACTGTATTTTGTTATTAAACAGTTGCTGACGACAAAAACAACAAACCAATACATGCGTCACGTGCGCTTATTCTAAAATTGACAAATTTATAAAATAGCTGTGTTGATATTAATAGAAAGTTAAGTTTTTTATTTGCCTAAAAAAAAAACTAACTTACCAACATTTTTATTTTATTTTTCTTACCGCTAAAATCATTCTAAATCTGTTTATATATAAAAAAACTCCCAGTTAATTAGTTGCCCCCAAAAAAGTACTGCCCGGGGCAATTGCCCTCCTTGGCCCCCCCCCCTAAATAAGCCACTGATGTGTGCGCACGGCGACCGCAGCCACGTGATTCTTTTTCGTATATGTACTTTTTGTTTAATTTTTTTATTTTTTTCTTCTTCCCTGTTTCGCTGCTTTAGTTTTCGGTCGGTTGTTTCTGCGGGCACATGAAACGGTTTTTACGAACACCGAAAAGCCCTCGGCCCGTACACCGACCGTAACATCGCGTGTTTGTGACTGCACAGCGTCTTCTTCGAACGTTCAAAATTTTGACATAGGTACGGGTTTTCGTTTTCAAATCCAGGATCGTAGGCCCGATTAGATATTTAGATATTCTCTAAGGTGTTCTCGTATCCGTGCGATGAGACTTCCCTGTTGTGGTCCTCGAGTGTTTTGTGTACCGTAATATGCAATTCATAACGATGCAGTACACTGCGTTTTATATTTTTCAGCTGACAACGTTTTTTTTTTTTTTTTGAAATGAATCGTCATCGAGCGATAAACGACTTTCGGTACTCTTAATTCAGTATCATCACGCTATATTTCGAGTGAAATAAAAATAAGATACAAGCACAAGCCAATCGCAATAATCTTGACATTACGTACCATGGAAGTATTCTACTTATACTATTTAATTTTTTTACTACGGTAAAACGTAAGAATAATAAATGACCGTCAAATACCGTAACTAAAGTTATGGTACATTTGAATTTTCAAAATACGATAAAAAATAATAATGATATGATGAATCGAAGTTATGTATCGTGGCATTTAAAACGTAGCGGTATGACTTTCGACGAAACGATAAATGCAAAACTGTGACACTGAAAATAACTGTGTTCGTGATGTATAATTTATGACGGCATGAATATAAACCGTTTTGTGGAAAAAAAAACTTTAGCGAATCTACCAAAAACCACAACGCGCAAGTGCCACATTTCGAATAATTGTGTCGGTTAGTTCCTTTATACACGTGTACACAGAAAATGAATGTGATCAGTACAGTTGACACGTTCGGTATAACATATTATTGCATTTTCTCTTTCCATTATTTTTTGTTTCGTTTAATCGTTTTAATTACGATTTACATTTTCTTTTTTTTTCCACCAAATCTCATACAAATCAACAACAAACTAATGACTCACGCCCGCATGCCTAATTTTTAAACCGTACATTCATCGTAATTGAAATCATTATACTAAAACGCGCGATAATCGATTGTATTTTATATTATTTACTCGGAGAAATTAACGTACATTTTTATCACGTCGGTGTGTATTTTATTCGTGAATAACTACCTATTTTTATTGTTATTCCTTTCTTAGAAGAATAAAACGTTCGTGAAGGTTTTATATTGTTGCGCTGACAGAATAACGCGAGCACGTACTTAGGAGAAAAAACATTCAACTGTTGATTCAGACGTAAATATATAATATACCATATATATATATATATATATATATATATAATCGACATTTTAACGTGCAACGTTTTTATTTTTTAATCACT